AGAGAGACAGAGACAGAGCATGAGCGGGCGTTTTTTTAAATACTTAAAAAAAATTTTTTTTAATCTTCATTTATTTTTGAGAGACAGACAGAGACAGAGCATGAGCGGGCTTTGGGGCAGAGAGAAAGGGAGACACAGAATCCAAAGCAGGCTCCAGGCTCTGAGCTGTCAGCCCGGATCCTGGCACGGGGCTCAAACTCACAAACCATGAGATCATGACCCGAGCTGAAGCCAGAGGCTTAACCAACCGAGCCACCCAGGTGCCCCTAAGGTGGTTTCTTCAACTTTTATGTGCGTGGCCCATGATGACAAAACCAAAAAGTATACAGTAAAGGGAAATGTCTGCCCAGAGGGTTTCCTGTTTTCTTTTCTGTCCAGCACACCTACCCAGTGCTCACTCTGGGCTCGCTGGCTGGACATAGCTGATTGATCAGAGCACATAAAGGAGCGCCAGTGGTCGCCGCATCCCACGACGGGACCCGGGACCAGGACCGGCCCGGGCCCTGCCGCCAGGGTGGGGAGCAGGCTCTCACAGCGATGTGGGTGATCAGCAGCTCTTTCTCCCCACCATTTCCATTTTGAATCACTTCAAAATGTTGCACAAAAGGATTTCTATTTTCAGTCAGACCATTTGTTTTGTGAATCAGGGTAAAAAAGTTACTCAAATTATTTACATTCATTTTAGTCTTTTTTTTCTCTACCTCTCTCCATTTTTTTTTTTGAATTTTAAAACAGTCTTATTTGAGATATAATTCACATATCAGACAACTCACCCGAGGTATATTTACAGAGGTACACATACAACCATCACCACGGTAATTTCAGAACATCTTCACTATCCCAAAAAGAAACTGTACATCCCTTAACTGTTACCCACCCCATTCTTCCATCCTCCCCAGCCCTCCCATCCCCCACTTTTTTTTCTTTCTTCCCTTCTTTCTTTCTTTCTTTCTTTCTTTCTTTGTGAGCTCTATGCCCAGTGTGGGGCTTGAACTCACCACCCTAAGATCAAGAGTCGCATGCTCAGATCAACTGAGCCAGCCAGGCGCTCCCTCCCATCCCCCCCCCTTTTTTTTTAATTTTTTTTTTAACATTTATTTATTTTTGAGACAGAGAGAGACAGAGAATGAACAGGGGAGGGGCAGAGAGAGAGGGAGACAGAATCTGAAACAGGCTCCAGGCTCTAAACTGTCAGCACAGAGCCCGACGCTGGGCTCGAACTCACGGACCATGAGATCATGACCTGAGCTGAAGTCGGACGCTTAACCAACCAAGCCACCCAGGCGCCCCTCCCATCCCCTTTTAAAAACATCCCTCTCAAGATCTTTTCTGTTCACATAATAAGTTTTCTGGCTCTACCCAGACCTTCCTCTTTAGGAAATCTAGAGCTATCATCCAAACACAGTGCGGTGTGTGCAGTACTGAGGAACAAAAGCAAAACGCTCCTTAGCTAATTTTTCTCAGCATCCTACTCATAAGAGAACATGTGCACCTGAGCACGTTTAGATTAAGAAGTGCATGCTTCCAGAGTGAAGGATGGAGAGACTCTGAATTATACGAACAAGCAACTAACAGCTGTTGAGCACCCACCAATCACTGACCCTGATACGGGCACAGCACCCCACAGTCTGCAAAAACACTGCCCAGTTGGAAAGGGCACTAGCCAGTGTCCACTGAAGCGCCTCTGAGAACGTGCATGGCTTTCATGGCTCTTTAGCTCCAATCCTTTTGTTCTCAAAGACCTTTACATACATGTGAAATGGATTAGCTTCATTTACAGCAGGAAACTGACTATTCGGAAATTAAAAAGCATGATCATCCTACGAGACACAACACTCCTGGTGCACCAGGGAGACTGACTTTTTGAAGGAGGTCTAGCCAGTAATTGCTTCGAAATGGTCACTAAAATTGTGGGATTTTAGGTTTGAGGAATTGTAAGAGCCACCACTTGTGTGTTACTATGTGAGGTCAGCTAAGAAAGACTATTTGGTAACCACAGTTGTTTGATTTTAGCAAATTTGGCAGTTTTTGGCAAATTAAAATAGCAGTTTCTCTTTAGTCTGTAGTCAAGGTGTAGGGGTGGGAGCAGAGATTGAAGAGAAGGGGGTTAAACCGGGAGGAACTGATGGAAGAGCACTGGGTTCTGAGCTCAAGTCTGCAGGCTTTAAGCAAATCCCTTAATTTATCTGGATCTTAGGTTCTTGAGACTCAATGCTCTCCCAGTACCTTCTAGACTTCTAAAATTCTGTATCAAAACCCCAAGCCTGAACTTGAGAATTTTTCTACTTAGAAACATATCCTATCAATCTTATTACTGCTTCTCTAACATGTGGTTATATCTTTATTTGCAAACCTGATTTGGACTGAATTTTGCGATGATTGTCATTTTTTATGCGAATAATAATTTGGAACTAACATAAATTTCATGAAGTGTTCCCCTCCTAATACACTAGATGGCACTACAAGCAAGTCAAATCAAATTACAAAAAAACAAAACACAAAACAAACAAACAAACAAAAACGGAGTGGGGGAGGGGAGTAGATTTTGACTATCAGAGTCAAAGTTACTAAATATGGTAAATTAGAAAAGCTTCAGTCTTTATCAAGAGTGTTATGTCAACATCTTCAGAAAAATGAGCAAAAATGGCCAGTGTTGAATATCTTAAGATCAGGAAAATGTCATTTTGTGTAGTGACTTTCAATCTGTTACTGTGACCCAACCGTAAGACATTTTAGGTTGGGTCCCAACCCATATACACACACGCTAAAGCAACAGAAGCTCCATAGGGCAATCCTAAGCCTTCTTCCCTGTCGTGCATTCTGAGACTATTTCTTTTGCACTGAAGGAAAATGCATTCCTTGGAAGAATGGGGAAAGTGTATGTGACACATTATCTGATGTATTTGATGGTGAACAAAGTGATAGGAGGGGACTTTAGAGGTGTGTTGCTGTTTGAAAATTAGTAATATGTATACAGCCAAGCTACAAAAAAAATGGGGCAATTATTCATTCTAAGAAAAAATAATGTACAGAAATGGGTAAGTGCTTTCTGACTCAGCAGTGAACATTATTCACATGCTCATAATAATGTAAGCACTGAATATTGATATAAGTGTAGCGGGGAGGGGAGGGTGAGAAGTTGGATAGCAACGTAGTTCTCATCTACTTAACAGGATGTGAACAGTTAATGCCTAGTGTTCACGTATCGCAAAACAGTGATGTATTTAGAAACATGGAGGTGAGTGTCAGAAGAAACGGCTAAGCTATTTAAGGTTGTTGCCTCTAGGGGAGAAGTGGGGAGTGAGGTAGTGGAGTGGGGGCACAGTCTATTGTTTTTTGTTAAAAATTTATCGGGGTGCCTGGCTGGCTCAGTCAGTGGAGCATGAGACTCTTGGTCTCGGGGTTACGAGGTTGGGCCCCACGTTGGAGGTAGAGATTACTTAAGAAAATACAATCCTAAGAAAATTATAAAAATAAAAATTTATAGTACTATATTATTCAGCCTTAAAAAGGAAGAAAATTTGGACACATATTACAACATGGATGAACCCTGACAACATTATGCTAAATGAAATAAGCCAGACACGAAAGGACAAATACTGTTGAAGTGAGTCCACTTACGTGAGGTACGTAGTAAAGGCAAATTCATAGAGACAGAAAGTAGACTGGTAGAATGGTGGGCGCCAGGGCTTAGGGGGAAGAGGTTAGGGCATTATTGTTTAATGAATACAGAGTTTCAGTTGGGAGAGAGAAGAAAGTTCTAGAGATGGATGGCAGCGATGGCTTAACAACAATATGAATGTACTCAATGCCACTAAACTGTACTTATAAATGGCTTAAATGGTAAATTTTACGTTATGTATATTTCATCATAAAAAAGCGATGTAAGAAAAAAATAATTTATAATACTGTTTGATTCTTTTTTTAATGTTTATTTATTTTTGAGAGAGAGACAGAGACAGAGTGTGAGCAGGGGAGGGGCACAGAGAGAGGGAGACACAGAATCCAAGCAGGCTCCAGGCTCTGAGCTGTCAGCACAGAGCCCGATGCGGGGCTCGAACTCACAGACCGCAAGATCATGACCTGAGCCGAAGTTGGATGCTCAGCCAACCAAGCCACCCAGGCGCCCCAATACTGTTTGATTGAAATAACTGCACACATGTTTTCATTGTATTACATTAATTTTTAGAAAGCTTCGGATGAATGTCTGAAAGTCTTTATACATGTCATGAGCGTGTTTATTTGGGCCACCGAGGGGCCTTTTTTGCTTTTATCCAGTTCTTACCTGTATGCTCCTTAGAAAAAGATGTCAGGTAAGTTATTCACAAATAAGGGAGGTATTACTGAAAGTAGGTGTCTTATGAATACATTTCAGGGGAATTTGAGATACCTGATACCTAAACACAGCACACGAATGCTGAATAAACGTACACATGCATCGAGTTTGAATAAGGACATTATTACGCAGGAATTTCCGTCTTTTGGCCTCTGCTGCTCTCAGTGGGTATGCTAAATGTTTGGCTGTGTAGTCACCCGCTGAGTGGCTTGTTGGAACTCAAGGCCACTTTGTGCTGGGACTGGGTGCGACTCCGGGTGAACCAAAGATGCTGTGCTGTCAGAGCTGATTTCTAGCTCACAAGTTTCTCTTTACCATCACTTTCCTTAACCTGGCCCAAACAGGAGCGTGTATACTCATTTCTTTGCACTTATAAGCAATAAAATGCCAATTAGCTTGGCAGGAAGAAGTTGACTAGTAAAGTGCAATTCTAATTTAAATCATTGTACCTTCAGTGTACAATTGAGAAGGCAGCTCTAAGAAGAAAACGACAATGGAAAATAACTTTACATATCCTTAGAGACGTTGAACTGCCTTCCAGCCTTTAAGTCATGCTTCTTGGTTTTGACAGGTTACATTTACCTTCGAGGGTTTATTGCTATAAAAAGAGTGTTAGATCTCATTGTTGTCCCATCTAAATTCTCCTGTTTGTTCACAGTGTGAGAGGAGAACAGAAGCACGACGAAAAAATCTTCTTATTTTGATTCTGCATTATTTAACACAAGAAGGGTATGTTCTGTTTCAAAGATTTACAGACGTGATTCCTCTCTTTGTCTGACCTCCACTTTTCTAGATATACACTTATAAAAATAGCTAATAGAATTTATTTTTTATAGCAGTTTTATATTTATAGAAAAACTGAGCTGAAAGTATTCAGAGTTCCCATATATTGGGAATCCCCCTACCCTAGCCAGTCTACCCTGTTACTAACATCTTACACTGGTGTGCTACGTGTGTTATAATTGGTGAACTAATCTTTATATATAAATATCTGTGTGTGTGTGCATGTGTGTATGTAGATGTACCTATATGTATATGTGTGTATATATACATATTATTTTAGAGACAGAGTGTGAGCAAGGGAGAGGAGCAGAGACAGAGAGAGACAGAGAGACAGAGAGAGAGAGACAGAGAGAGAGAATCTTAAGCAGGCTCCACACTCATTGTGGAGCCCAACACGGGGCTTGACCCTATGACCCTGGGATTATAACCTGAGTTGAAATCAAGAGTCTCATGCTCAACGGACTGAGCAGCCCAGGTGCCCCCAATCTTGATATATTATTGTTAGCTAATGTCCATAGTTTACATCAGGGTTTACTCTTGTGTTGAATGGTTCCATGAGTTTTGACAAATTCATAATGTCATGCATCCAGCATTGTAGTATTACATTGAATAGCTTCACCCTTAAATATCCCCTGTGCTCTGCCTGTCCCTGTCCCCACCATCAGCAACCCAGATTCATAATTTTATGGCCTCATTGACACATATAGTTCCATTACGCATTTTGAAAACTCTAACAAAGCTACCCAGTCATGAGATACGTTCCCTTTCCCATTCAGGTTTCAGGCCTATCAAATCAGATTCCCAGGGCCCTACAGCAGGCTACGTACACAGAGATCACACTCTTATTCCTCAATTCTCCTTCCCTCAAAATAAAGGTATCGGATTTACTGGATGACCTATGTCCCCCTTTCTTTTCCGGACAATGCCATTCAATAACTGGCAGGGGAGGAAATTTGGAAGCATCTGAGTTTGGCCACCTACCTGATCTGGAAACGTGCAAGCCTTTACAATGAAGGCTGCAGATGTGCTGGGTTTTATGAGGAAGAGAGCTCATCCACTATTTACTTTCCAGTTTCCTTTCTTTCCAGGTTTCATCTAGGAAGAAAATATTCAGGTTTCAGGCTTAGGGCTTGAACTTGCAAGTTAGAGCAGCAGTTCTCAACTGGGGTGATTTTGCCTCGTGGGGAGCATTTGGCAATGTCTGGGATGCTGCTAAACATCCTTCAATGCACAGGACAGCATCCCACAACAGAATTATCCAGCCCTAAGTGGTAACTGTGCCAAGAAACTATCTCAGAAAGGAGAACCACGAAAACAAAAGACAAAGAAAAGTCAGCATAGTTTATCCCTTCAACTGTGTATTTACAAAGCATGCATTTCCCCTTTCTGCCACGAGATGGCCCCTTGCATCTCAAATCAATGAAAATTCTAGTAGAATTGACCATTTTCCTGAGACCTGCTGGTAAAGGCACTTAGGAGTGTATGTCAAGATGAAAAGTAAACTGTAGGTATTTTTAAAAGACATATCAATGTTGGAAAAGCAGACCTGTCTTTAACAAAAGACCAAGGATTTATCCTCATCAAGAGGCTAGGTTACAGTGGATTGGAATAAACAACCAGAGAAAAGCTTTGTAGAGACGGCAAGGTGAGCTGGTCTAGAAAGATGTGGAGAAGATGGATAGACATGATGCACAAGGACATCGCAGGCAGGCTCACAGAGAAAGAAGAGCCATAAGTGGAGACAGACCAGAGTTGGGCTGTGTGTGGGAGGACAGGTGAGGTCCGACAGTGGAGGATCACAGCTGCTGGTTCGAGGACTACACATGCTGCTCTCTGGGTCTGAGCACCTGTTAACAGCCTCCCCATCTCTCCCACTATGTCATGCTCATTACTGCTCACTCCTCTTCCTGACGTCCCATCCTGTCACTCCGTTGGTTGAGAACCTCTAGTGGCTCCTCCAGCCAACCTCATTAAATTCAGATTTCATTCAAGCTCAAACAATGTAGTAGCAACACGCAGAAGCAGTTTTGTTCCCCGATTAATTAGTTTGGGATCTATGAAGCCTACTATCATCTATTCTTATAATTTTTGTGTAAGTCAAAAGCCCATGATCCTGGAAAGAGTTCAATATAATGTGATGTGAGTAAAGACTACAAGCAATCTGTAGTGTATGTTCTCACACACACACACACAAATAATATATATAACATATATATATATGCATATATATATATGTGTGTGTGTATATACATATATAGAGCTTTACAAGTGTATATATGTAAGTATATATGCATTTAGTCATTAAAAATGTTTGGAAAGACAGGCAAAGGTAGTGGAATTTTCTTTTGACTTACCTATATTTTCTAGTTTTTTCTCAAATGAGCATGTATTACTTAATACTAAACAAAAATTATTCCTAGGACAGAGTTAGTTTTTCTCTCTGTAAAATGGGGATTAAGACACAGTATAGAAGCCTGGTGAGCCATCAATGTGTCTAGAGGCTGACTGACTACAGCCAATTGATGTTTTGCAGTTTCTTTAAAGTTTAGCAAGGTCACTGGAAATAATCATGGCAACCTTGTTTAAGAAAGTTCAGTGTTCCAACTGACCTGAATCTGGTGAAGGGAAGAAAGCATAATATAAAAGAAAGTTTTCTCCTACCTTCCCAGATTTGAATCAAACAGAAAGAAGTCTATCCTGAGGCAAAAATTCTTAATCCAATGTCCTTGGATGAAATTGTATGCTGATTTGGGCGTATTTGCCCATCTTTCAGGAGAGTCTTTGGTTTCATAAGAAGTTGAGAACTAAGATTAAAATGTGGAAAGTCTTTCCACTTTCAGAGGATTGGGAGACAGAGCATTGCTGAGACAACAACAGGTTCAAAGTGACAGTGAAGAACCCCGGTGAAGATCATGCTTCTACCCACAGTCACCGGGTAGTGTAGATGTGTGACTGAAGAAAAATGACCAGAAATAACATGGCCCAGCAGATGACTTCTTCTTATACTCAATCTCCTTGATGATATTGATCAACATATTTCTGGAATTTCCTTTAGAACTCATGACCTGTGCTTTTCAGTTGCCACAATCATGGCACATCTTGCCTCTTGGGCTTAAATTTGGGTTTAACAATTGCCAGATGTTATCTAAAATTAATGCTGGTGAATAAAGAGGTAATCAAGTTGGGCAAATACTCAATTTTGGCTAGAAATGAGAAAACACAGGACATTTTCTTAGTCGATTTACTTATTTGACTTCTAAGCACTTCCAAAAATGTTTTGAACAATGATGACATCATTAGAATAAGTATGTAGCTTCCAGAGGCAACTGGTTTGAAAAACAGTACTTGGATATACTTAACATATGTGGGCTCCTTCTATAGGCAAACCTCATATATTGTAATTTTCATCGAATGTACTGCTTAATATAAGCTAATATTTGTATTGAGTCTCTGTGGACTTGTAATGCCTGTTTGCCTTTATTCTTTTTACCCAGAGTTAATTTTTGTTCTTGTTTTTTCTTCTGTGAAATGGCCAGATATATCGATGCAGCCAATGCTTTGGAGCAAGAAACTAAACTGGGGTTACAACGCTTTGAAGTCTGTGACAACATCGACCTTGAAACTATTTTGATGGAATATGAGAGCTATTATTTTGTAAAATTTCAGAAATACCCCAAAATTGTCAAAAAGGCATCAGACACAGGTACATGGCTATTTTCTAGAAATAAGGTTTTTTCTCATCTTTAAGATTAGTGTTTCTTCCTCATTTTATTCTCAGATAGATGCTACTCTCCCCCTCCCCACACTGAAAGAATAGACCAGAAAGATTGTATAGCCTGTATCAGATCCTGTACAGAAATAGAAACATGATCGGCCAGGCAGTGATGTCCCTTTAGTCACGGTGGCATTTGTTTGAGGTATGTGTGTTTTAGGACAATGAACGCAAAACCCCAGTGCATCACAGGTGCTTTTTAGAAGACCAATGTTACTTTCATTTCTTTAAAAATGGAAAGAGCTGTTGGAAGAGGATAAAAGACAGAAGACTTTTTGTTGTTGTTGTTAGGAAGACCTATTATCTATCTTGAAAATAACATGAAAATGAGTATTGGTGAAGCTAATAGCTCATGTATAGATAATGAAATGCTTTTGAAAGCCATCAATCCAGATAATGATCAATATAATGCAAAGACCCAGTATAGGTTAGCAGTCAAGGAGGCTGGCTGGAGGAAAGATCTAAAGCGAGGGCCCTATGTTTTGTAGTAACATTGACTTGGAAGTCTGTAAGTGGGGGAAGTAATTATAAACCAAGGGAGATCATTGTCCTGTTTACAAGGCACTTGTTAAGCCACAGACTTTAACATTTCATGTGGGGACCAGGAAACCAAGAGGAATGTCAATTAAAAATAGCCGGGGGCGCATCTCTGAGCTGGAAGGGATATTTATCTGAGCTCCTTTCCAGGGCAGAGTTCAGAGCTCCCTGTCCTTGGCTGGTTGCTGGGTCTGGGTTTGGGCAGAGAAGCACTGACTCCTGGGCCACCAGGACTATTACTGACATGATCTAATTTCTAGATTGCTGGTTCTGATTTAGCCTGGAACCATATTCTCCTGGGATATTAGACACAATGTCTTTATTTTAAGGTAAACTGGCAGAGTACGACTGGTAAGTGTTCATGCAATCATCCTGGTGTCCCACGGACCACAGCAAAATGGTGTCAAGTTCATGAAAACTTAATGTAATGGTAACCGTAAAGTTGGCCCACACTGAAGTTGCCACCAGGTTCATGGTCTCCAACTCAATTAATATCTAAGGGCTTTGGGGTCTTTCTCCATGCAGAAATGCTTGGGAAACATGGGTTTCTTTCCTTCTGCTGGTAGTTTCACTTCTTTCTATATGAGAATAGCTTAGAGCTCCTGGACCCCACAAGGCTATAGCACAAATTTTGAGAACAATGTAAAAGGGCAAACATATCTGAAAAATCACTTTCTCTTAAAAATTAAATTCTTTCCTTTTCCTCCAATATTTGTTTTGCTACAGCGGAAAATAATTTACCACAAAGAAGTGGAGGGAAGACCAGAAGGTAAAGTGAATGGTAATTCCTCTCGACCAACCCAACTCTAAGAGTTTGTGGGATCCCTTTCCAGAAGATTCTCCAGCTCAGTTCCCTATCTGTCTACCAGCAATTGCAGACTGTGATCATGTGACCTTAGTGGGCCCAGCAATGGGTTCCCCACACGTTACAGACGTCCAAGACATGAGCCAACATCTATGGGTTCTCCTGGTTTTACCACAGATAACTGCATTCACTAGTGCTCTTTCAAGGCTATGTGCTATGAAGAGTACGGACCTCAGAGATTGCAAGACCCAGGTTCAATTCCTGGCTCTGCTCCTCACAAGCTTGGAGCAAGTTTCTGACACACAGTGAGGTCCCCACACGTAGCAAGCACCCATGCATGCCTCATGATAATACTCTCAATAATGCTCTGCCTGAGGCTAACTTTGTTTTGTACTATTCTTTAGGAACAATTTTATCGTTTTGACCAAAGCATTATCCATTTATTTACAGTTTCCATAAAGCTAGTCAAACTCTGACAACAAACGATAACTACTTTTGAACCAAAAAAGCGAGGAGCATTTAAAGAAGCCAGCTTTGGCATGCATTTGGGTTCTGATTATGTTTCAGCCACATATTCATGCCTGGAACTTCCCCAGCATTCCTTACCTAGGAGAACATTCCAGAAGTGAATGTCTTTCGAGCACTTTGCTTCTCTTCAGGGAGGCAGCTTGACAGCTTGGGTGTCCTCAGCTCGTCTCTGAGTAAACGTTTGTACGTGGCAGGCGTAAAGGTCAGACAGCAAATGGCTGGAGTCGGGAAGGATAATTAGGAAAGTAATGAATGCTGTTTGTTTACAATTTTGTAATTGAAGATAGCTATTGAAATGAAAGGTTGTGTCATGAGACTGGCTATTAACAAATGAAAGTGCCTTTTCCTAATGCTTGCATTTCACACCAGAGAGCAAGCTCCCAGTTTACAGATTTGCAGATAACTCAGTGGAGGAAAGTTTATTTAATGTGATGGATAACAGAATTAGGATGCTAAAAAATCTGGACAATTTGGAAGATGGGCCCAAAATAACACGATGAAATTTAATGAAATAAGGTGTAAGCTCCAACCAAAGACTAATGACAAATAGCTCCCTCATTACAAAATCAGGGACCTAGAAATCTGAGTTCACAACAGATAAGGTGTGAGGGTGATCACAACAGTGTGATGTGACTGCTAATGTGGTCTTGGGCCTCACTGATAGAAATACAGTGTCCCCAAAATAGGAGGTGACTCTGTTGTGGTCAGAAGACTGTGGACAAAGGAAAGGTGATCAGGATGAGGATGAATCTGGGAGCCAGGTAACCTTAGGAATGATTGGGGCAACTGGAGAGGGTTAGCTTGAAGACTGGAACCCATGGGGAGGCGGTGCCCCTAGAACAACACGGCACCAGTCTTCACCCTCTAAAGAGGGACTGAGCCTTCTTTGTAGAATTCCACAGGGCATACTCAGGAGGGGCACCTAAAATTATAGCGGGGTGGATTTGGTCCCATATTAGGATGAATTTTACAATCATTAGAGCTGACTGGGAATGAATCACATTGCTTTGCACATTAGGAACTTGTCTCTGATCGTGTTAAAGCAGATCTGTGAACCACTTGCCTCCAAAGGGAAATCAAAGCAGGAAAACAGACTCCCTGTTCCCTGTCTGCCCTGCAATGACGTTAGGCAAGCTTCACTACATATGTGTATATATATGACCTCATTGCATTTAAATCAGTGCTATTCATAAGGGTTTGCACTTGTAACATGTTTGGTATTCATTTCATAGACACTTCATTTTTGTGCCAGCCAAAGGCCTGAGGGACAGACGTTTGTGTTCCTAGTTTACAGATGAAAAACAATGTTCCGAGAAACTGTCAGCTGTCCACCTCTTATGATACCCACCCCAGTGGGCCAACACCGGGGTCATGGTGTGTGGACGCTGGCGTTATTATTGGCATGGGTGGTCTTTTGCTGGCTAGGTGTTTATATTAAATACAACTCCTCCTTTCCCAAAAAGAAATGGAGAAATAGATGCTCCCTGAGACCCCTTAGGACAGGGGAGAAATACTTCCAGCAAAACTCCTGCAAACACATCTTACACGTAAGGACAAAGGAATGGAGAAAACCCAAACAAGTTCAGATGTGGGACTTCACGGTCGGCCCCCCGAGCAGTCCTGCCTTTCTCTGATGTCATCTCCTATCTGCTAATTTTCCAAAACTGAATTTCTCGTTCCAAGGACCTAGCGAACAACTTTATTTTACCTTTATATTGATGCATATAACACATATGCAGTCAAATGTCCATAGACTCTCGTACGCGCCACCACCCCAGCCCCCCAGCAGGCTCTCTTCCCGATCAATGCATCCCATCTCCAAGAGAGGTAGCCACTGTCTGGCGTCCAGACCCATCAATATGTTTTGCCTTAAGTGAACAATATTTGGTGAAAATCTGTTTGGCAAATATGAAGATCTGTGACAACAGAGATGAGGTAAGGGTTGCTTCCCTTGCACTAGCCCCTTCGATGTTTTAGTATACGGGCTGCTGAAGTGAGCACCTTTCCATGTTGGCTGTACGCAGCCTGATGAGAACTATTTTAAGTACATCCAGCACACTGGATCAAAACTACAGGCAAATCCCTAGGCTTCCTCCTTCCTCCCCACAACGTGACCCCTGGGCTGCATACTGTTCTTTAAGGAAGGTGGAAGAAACGTTGGAAAATGCTTGCAAAAGTCATGTGTTCTTAGGAATACAGAGCTACCGGCAGAAGAGCTGGAGCCAGGTGGCTTGAAGGGAAAATGAAGAGGAGGTTGGGGGCCTCCAGAAGGAGGTGGACCCTCTAGCTTGCTCTTGGAGGAACCCAAGGGGTAGAGTGGAGCAAGTCAGAGCCAGGCAGCCAGGGTGTCAGGACAGTGCAAATGGAAGGGCCCAATGGTGCCACATCTGCACATCTTTCTAGAACTCTTTTTAAGTTGGCTACACAGGTTGTTTAGTTACCTCAAATTAAATGGTTTGAATAATTTCCTCCAGGGTCTTTGTTCCCTCCCCTAGGGTGATGAGCGACAGTTGTCAAAATCTTCCCAAGATCAGTCAGCAGAGGCCACGGTCCAGAACCACGGTGGGGAAGCCAGGGGATGCCAAATCCGTCCATAAGGAGCATCCTAAACAGGTCTGGATGGCTTTGCTGGTATTGGTAAAACTGCAGATGGCTGAGAAATAGCCCTGAGAAAAGAGTCACATTTATTCATTTTTGTGTGATTTTGTTACATTGTAGATTTTCTTCCAGTATACTGAATTAAAACCACAGGCAAATCTCTAGCCTTCCTAATGTTTCTTAATTCGAGTGGAAAGTCTCCTTCCTTCCGCCAGCCTTCCCCCTGGTTGGAGTACTGGGAAACAGTCCTCGAGGGGTAAGCCCTGGGTCCAGTCAGAGCAGGGGGCTGGTTGCTACAGAGCTCAATCATCCCATTTGAGGTAACTATAGGTGGCACATCTTTCCTGTCCCAAAGCACATTCCTGGACTCTTAAGACTAAGTCAAGGACGGCCTCAGGAATGGCTGGGTTTCTCCAAAACACAAATGGTTGGTCTTCACTCCAGACCTCCCCGCAAAACAATCTTGGGGACAGGGTGGTCAGCAAGAGGACAGAGCCCAGCAGGCGGGGGAAATCAATGGCTTCTAACTCAGGGGATTCATACCTCCAACCTCCTGGGTCAGAACAAACACACCAGGTTTCAGAGGAAAGAGAACTAATGGAAATAGTGAAAAAGAATGGGAAGAAAGAGTGTCAGAGATCCCTGGCGGGGGAGAAAGGAGTCCTCGTGAAACTCAATTGTCAGAAGGAACCTCTCACTCTCGAGGAGGTTGTACACTTCTGGCCATTGCAGTCTGGCTCAGGTGGAAGGGAGCCGAAGGTGGTGCAGGGGAATCCGCAGGAAGCAGTTGACTGTTGACTCAGCTCCACCTCCAAACTCAGCCACCCCTGGCCTCAGATACCTCGTTATAGGAGAACAGGCAAGCCAGTGTGAACGGGGATGGGTTGAGGCACAACGGTTTCCTCCACCGGAAAAGCTGCTCAAAGCCTGTAGCTTCTGGTGACAGCTCTTCCCGTATGGCACAGGCAGACAGTGAATTCATCTTGTTGGGTCTGCACAGAAGTGGCCGAATGACACATGAGGTTCCCGTTTACTGAACTGATACCCAGTGTGTGATTCTGGATGCCGGAATAGGCATTTTCCACCAGCATGTGGAACTTGCTTCCCCAGCTGGCTTCTTGCTGTCTTCCTCTTTCCCCAGGAGCCTATCAATAATACTCCCATGGAGGGCGCTGACTTTGGCTTGAGTATATCAGGAATCCCCAAAGGCAGCGGAGAAGAAAACGTCCGCCCACAAAAAGTAAGTGGCACTCGTGAACCTAGAACCAAAGGGGGGCATCCCTTTTCTTTGTAAAAATGAAAGTAAAAAAGGCTGTTTTTGTCAAAGAGGAAAGCTAATAGGTGACGGTCAAAGGCTGGCTGTGCAGTGAACTAAGAGGAGCACTGGATGAGGATTACAGCCCTGGTGTTCTGGTCTGGTCTTGAAGGATGTGCCCCACCTCGAAGAAGCTCAGTTTCCCTATTTGTAAACTCAGGAGTTTGGAAGAGATGGCTTCCAACGTCACTTTCAGCTTGAAAATCCCACGACTGAAATGATCAGCATGGGTGTTCTGTATTATTGAAGGAGTTATGATGGCCTGCCCATTCTTTCTTCCCCCATTGGTGGTAACTGATGAGCGATGGCACTTTTTCTCCATGGAGATGTGGCTCTAGGCTTACATGTCATTCCATGTGAACCATGAAACCTCAGTTGAAATAGGGTGGGTCTTATCCATACTAAACATTTCTACCTTTTTCATAATGAACCTCATTTCTTGATTCAGAAATAACCGTTTCTCAAACAGAGAAGACCCAGATTGGGTGGCTGTAGGCAGAAGGTAGGTTAAAACCTGTCCTTTGGAAAGGTGAAGCAGTATCAACACCCAGCAGGTTTCTCTTGATTGTAACTTCTGGGGTTGGGTGTCTTTTTAAGAGTCATCTTTCTTCAAGCAAGTTCTCAAACTACAGGACTTCAGACTTACCCCTGGCTGGCTCTTCTGGGGCGAACTAAACTCTGACTGTGTGTGTGTTTGGAGGGGAGGCTGGGAGCATCTCCCTGGAAATTAAGGGAGCTCTCATTGGCTTGAACTGGCTCCTTTTAAGGTCCTCAAGTATATGGGTTCTTTCTCTCTCTCTCTCTCTCTCTCTCTCTCTCTCAAAAATAAATAAACATTAAAAAAATTTTAAAAAGGGGTGCCTGGGTGGCTCAGTAGGTTAAGTGCCAACTTCAGCTGAGGTCATGATCTTGCGGCTTATGAGTTCCAGCCCCACATCAGGGTCTGTGCTGACAGCTTGGAGCCTGGAGCCTGAAGCCTGATTCGGATTCTGTGTCTCCCTCTTTCTCTGCCCCTCCCCTGCTCACACTCTGTCTCTGTCTCTCTCAAAAATGAATAAACATTTAAAAAAATGTTTTTAATTAGAAAGATATCATAACGAGTGGAGAATGTTAGCATAGTGTCCAGCATATAATATACACTCGGTAAGTGCTGGCTACTGCTAATTACTTTTTTCTTGCATGCATCCTTTCTTTCTCCTTCTGCCTGCGGGGGAGATGAGGTGGCATTGGGAGGAGTACGGGAGGCAGATATCTGGGTTTAAACCTGGCCTTAAGTCACTTGTTAGCTGGGACTCTACTGAGTGGAGAATGTACATGGTGGTTAATGGGAACTATCATCACTCTCCTGATGATGAGTTCTTCCTGTGTGTGAAACGTCTCAAAGGATGAGACAATATAGGGGAGCCAGACCTGTAAGGAAGCATATGGCATGGCGTCAGGAACTGAAAAATGCTTGTGAATTTTTATTCAAACCAACTTCATTCTAAGGAATTTATTTCAACTTATTTTTTCTTCTAGAGTGCCCAACTTGAGGAAATCATCTTGTTCATTATTAGTGCGGGTTCTTTTTATTTTATTAAAAAATATTTTTTTTATTTTAGAGAGAGAGTGAGCACATGTGAGCGGGGAGGGGGCGGAAGCAGAGAGAGAGAGGGGCAGAGAGAGAGAAAGAGAGAGAATCTTAAGCAGGTTCCATGGTTAGTGCAGAGCCCGACATAGGGCTCAGTCCCACGACCCCAGGGTCATGACCTGAGCAGGACTCAAGTGACTGAGCCACCCAGGAGGCCCAGTGCAGGTTCTTTTCAAAGCTTCATTTTGTGTGTCCTACATACCAAAGTACATACATGTGTCTTGATTTACAGAAGCTGAGCTACTGAGGATTGTCTTCTCTTATGTTTTAATGGTGTAAATAACCATTACTCCCTTTCAGGGCCAAATCATTGACTTCCGAGGGCTGCTCACAGATGCCATCAAAGGAGCAACCAGCGAAGTTGGCTTGAACAGCCTTGACTGTAACCCAGACCCCTCAGTAAGTGGCTAAGACGTGACATTCGTCTTGCAAACTACCAACATCAGGACGAACTTTAGAAGTATAATTTTGAGTCCAGAGAAATTTTGAGATCAACTCAAAGGTCACAGCTATCTGCCACCATTTATGTCACTGAGATCCGCATCCTGTTTTGCTTTCTAAGTTATGAACAATATTGTAACGTAAAACTTTCTGTTCTCATCATCAGGAACGATTGTTGAAACCTCTGAGTGCATTTATTGGCATGAATAGTGAGATGCGAGAATTGGCAGCCGTGGTGAGCCGGGTAAGATCTGATATTCAATTCACAAATTTACGGAGGCGGATCGGGGCTCCTGGAGCATTGTGGGCTGCTTCTTTTATTAATAACAATAAATATGATCATTTATTTATAAAGTGCCCCCACTTGCAAAGGCACTCATATTGTTTAGAGGCACAATAATGCATGATAAATAAATTATAGAATCATAAAATTACAATACAAAGAGCCCACCATCTCACTACAGAGGCCAAGAAAACCAAAAGGGAAACAGACTTGAAAGGCAAGGGACAGGTGAAAGGTTTTAGAGCAGAGCCAACAGTTAAGGAGAGAAAGTCTCTTAGAGAAGGAAAGAGCATGTCTGTGTCTTGTTTAAACAAAGTCTAGAAACAGAGATATTGGGAGTCTGATGATTTCATAATTGGAAATTTCCATGAAAAACAAGATTAGCAGGAAAGAGCTTATCATCCAGACTACTGAATTTCAAGCTTACCCTTCAGAATTTAAAGGCAGTGGAGTCTCATGGTTAACGATACCGGCTCTGGAATCAGTTGACCTGGATTTGATTTCTACATCCTTCTTTTTCTAGCTGTGTGACTTTGGGCAAGTTCCTTGGGAACAGAATAGATTCCTGAGTTATAGGCTATTTATCTGATATCCAGCGATCTCATATTTAATGAAAGACTGCAACCTAGGCAGACTCGGAGAGATGTTTAATATGTTCCAAAAAATGCACAGCTATTCTGCAGTAATTAAGGGTTCCCCAGCTCTGGCTGTTCAGTTCCGCAGCTGTTACCGCACCTATTAGGTGTCAAGCACGCGGTGGGGGCTGGAAACACAAAGATGAACAAATCAGACACAGTCCTTGCCTGAAAGAGTCTCTCATCCCATGGGTAAGGTGCACTTGGAGAACCCAAAGGAGGGGTGTTTTGTGCCAAAGGGTGGGGAAAGTACTAGGGAAGAAGACACGTAAGAAATAGGCACGTGAAAAAGTAGAAGAGGGAGGGTGGAGGGTTCTGGGCCAAACACACTGTGAAATCGTACTGCTTTGAGCTGAATGAGCCCCAAGGAGTGGTGGGGAACGGGGTTGCAGAGAGAGGCCAGAGTTCCTGAGCTAGGGGCATAGTGAGCACTAGCCCAGCATTGGAAGTTGTCTGGAGGACATGCGGAATCTTTGAAAGGTGTCCATCGGGAGAATGGGCTACTCAGATGTCCTGATGACAGTGTGGTGGATGGAGATCAAAGAAATAGAGATAAGGAGAGCAGCTCTCAAGTTATTACCAGTGAGAGAGGATGAGGATTGAGCCAGGCTGTGGTAATTCGGATGCACCAGAGAGCAGAGAAAAATATCCTTTTTGTTACTGTTTCTGCAATAGGATACCATAACTAATGATAACAGAAGTGTAGAGAAGTGGCCTGAAATGATTCCACCTGGCATCTTTCCTACAGTGCCACAGGAAGTAGTCGTTCAGTCCCTGCTTGAATGCTTACAGTGTTGGGGAGCTCACCACCTCACGAGGCAGTCCTGTTGAGTTCTGACTGATAAGTTTTGCGGCTATGAGGAGGAACTTCCCATTGGGAAATTAAGTACTGCTATGTGGAACTCAATGTCAGCTCTAGAAGAGGGCAAGGAATACTGCTTTTATCTATGGCTGCTTTGAGTTCCAGGGTAGATCAATCCCCACTGTGTGCCAAGCTTCTTCTAAGAAAGTGTGGTAGTAAGAATGTGAGTGGCTGGTGGGCTAGCAGGCAGATACACTGTCTAAAGACAGGGAGGGTTCTCCCAAGATTTTGGAAGATAGATGTGCTTTCGCTGCCATCCCGTCCAGGAATGGATCATGCCTAAAATCACTTGAATGAATAGTTTCTCTAATAAAAGTTGTCACCCGTGGCAGAGGGATACAGAGAGACAGGCAACAGGGGTGGGGGCATTGAAAACGTGTGTTTTTGAACCATGTGCGTGTATTGTTTATTTAAAAATTAAATACACATAAAACTAGTTCCCAGATTGTTCTGTGGTCACTCAGAATGACTTGAAAGAGGGAGCTTTTTCTTTTTTTTGATGTAACACACTAGTTACTCAGTTTGCCTGAAAGAGCTCCTACTGAGAAAGGCCCTGAGTGACTGTTCCGAGGTGGCTTGTGAAATTGACGTTTGGAAACTTTAAATGAATTATCAGTAAAACCGGCCTTAATTGATTGCCCCAGATGGTTGCTACAGGGCTCCACAAGGAGAGGGCAGACCGCACTTTTGCCCGGTTGTTGGCTTCCTTGAATTTTGTAGGAGCAATTGCTCCTGATGGAAAGTAGGGGTGATCACTAGGGAAAAAGAGAAATTGGTTTCAGAGGAGCGTGATCTCTCTTAGGCCACAAATTAAGAAAGCGTTTGAGAGAGCAAGGAGCAAGGGGAGCCAGGCACTGGCTAGGAACTATGTTTTGCAGTCAAAGCCAATGTAATTTGAAGGCATATTCTGTAGCCTCTTTGATTACAGCCGTAAATCAGCACGGTTTGCTATTAACTGAAGACAGGTATAGTCCATCGTTAGGAGATTTTTTTTTCCCCTCTTAAAAGTACCATATTGTATCACCAATATCTTCTTCAGGGAAAAATCACTGAATATGTTCATGGCATCCATTTAGTGAGCTAGCCCATGATTACAATATGCATATATACGTATATCTAACATGAAAAGTTTTTATCACCTTTCCATCCTATTGTAAGTCAACTATTCTGCTGCTCCTGTGTTTATTACAGCTGTGGAGGAAAACACTAGTTTTAATAAAATGATCAAATGTGCATTGCAGGACATTTATCTCCATAGTCCAAACATAAAGTGGAATGACATTATTGGACTCGATGCAGCCAAGCAGTTAGTCAAAGAAGCTGTCGTGTACCCTATAAGGGTAAGGATGGGAAGCCTCGTGGGGGTATTTCTGTTCATTATCCATTGGACAAACTGTATGTCATGCACCCATCAGGAAGAGGACAGGATGTTTTTCTGCCATCAAGTTAACTTTTTGCCTGTGTCACAGTATTTGGTTAAACGTTGGAGTACCAAGGCCCAGTCCGTTGTAGGCAATTTGGAATCATGTTACATATTGGTTCAAGGCAGGTGTCTGTTCAAGTGATCATTTAAGATCTAAGACTCTAATATATATGATTTGCCAGTTGCTATAGATAGGTTCAAATTAGCCTGCCTCCCTAAAAATATACGTATTATAGCAGAAATACCTCCTGTAGGAGAGGGCCTCTCACTTTGCTTCTATACATCTTACTGCCTACCCTCCCCAATACCCACATCACCTGGGGTTTTGCTTTGACTGGTTGTAAGGACTAGACAGCCCCTTCCAGGGCACCAGCAGGAAAGCCACCGTGTTGTGCTCATTGCTTATTCCTGACAAGTCTTTGTGCAGAGTGGTTCACTAAACAGGAAAGAAAATAGAAAAACGGGACTTTCCATGGTGGGTTTACAACTGTGGTACTGAGAAGGTCAGTGTACCACATAGCTGTGGCTGTAAAACAGACCACCCCAAAACTTCGCACCTTAGAAAAACAACCATCACTTACTTATGTGCGCCTGTGGGGGTACGCCGTTTGGGCTGGGCCCAGCAGGGCCAGCTCATCTCTTTGCCACATGATACTGGCTGGACTCACTCCCACATCCGGGGCATCAGCCAGGGTGGCTGGGAAAGCTGGAATAAACGGAACGACTGAGACTTCTCCACGTGCCTCTCATCCTCCGGCAGGCAGACCGAGTCTTGTTCCCATGGTGACAGAGGGTTCCCAGACAGAAGCAAGAAAGGGCAGGTCCCAATCCAACAGCATCTCCCACGTCTCTTCTTCTACTTGCTGATGTCTCATTGGCCAAAGTCACAAGGCCAAGTCCAGATTCATGTGGTGGGAGGAGCTGCAGATAATTTGCGGCCATTTTCTGTGATCTTCCCCAGTGAAGATAACAAATTTATTGTATTGAATAACCTACTTATTATTACCACTGAGCCCATGCAGCCCCTGATTTTTGGCTGCTTCTATTCTAATGAGACAAAAATCAATGAATTTGGAATGTCTTTCCCCTCTCTTTCTTTCTGTGTTCTGACATGGGAGTAAAAAATATGCTGGTATTCAGAACTAGTGGGAATTTATTCACCCTTTCCTCTGAATGGCTCTACAATACAAGTCTTCTGGAAAGGATAGGACATCTCATTGAAACTCTGGATGTGTTATCTCCATAGTGTCATAAGCTCTGTATGTGATGACATCGAGATTTTGACATTAGCATCAGCAAGAAACTAATAGCTAGTTATAATCATACTATTGTTTTTCCTTCTTCCTTGTTCTCTGTCAACTCTACCTATGCTCCAGATTGTCTGAATTTGAACTAACGGGAGAGAATCACTAAAGTTCATGTATGTCCTGTTTGGAGTCAGTGTCTCCTAATGCATTCAGCACCAAGGTTCCCAGCTTCTAAATCAGGCTTCACCATAGCTTCATGCCTAATTCGCACACACCTTTGTCGGTTCTGGTGTTTATCTTAAAGGGCACTCCCTGTTCACAACATTCAAAAGATTGCCAAATACCCTGTATATAGACCCCTGGGGGAAATGATGTTATGTATGTAGGCAATAACTACTGTAATGGAGAAGAAAAGTACCCACGTATGCCTTTCTTTTCCTTAAAACAAAACAAAACAAAACTGCTCTTGTAAAAAGCCACAAATATTAAGCCACGCATTTCTATCAAGTGTGAAAGTCAACCTGGGATAAATATGATGTAAATAGAAGCAGCCAGCCTTAAAAAAAGGCTGACTGTCTGAATTGTGCTGTGTTTCACTCTGGCTTCGTTTGATTGTGCTGAGGGTGTGTAGGCTGACATACGGATACCAAACCTCTTCTTTGTTCCTTGTTTCCATAGTACCCACAGCTGTTTACAGGAATTCTCTCCCCCTGGAAAGGACTGCTGCTCTATGGCCCTCCAGGTAAAGGAATCGTTCTGTTTGGGTCTTGATATTAAGTGTGTGTGTGGATGACGACTTGTCCTGTCCTCATTCAGCACTGGGGCTAATGACCGCTAGGTAACCATCTCCTTTTTCACCGACTTCTTGTGACACTGACTTCTATCTGTTAGCAGAGGAATGGAGTTCAAGTGTTGCTCACAATTCATCCCCATGTGTCTCTAGGTACAGGGAAGACTTTACTGGCCAAAGCTGTGGCCACGGAGTGCAAAACAACCTTCTTTAACATTTCTGCGTCTACCATTGTCAGCAAATGGAGAGGGGATTCAGAAAAACTTGTTCGGGTAGGAATTCCTGATTTTGTTTTTTCAGAATAAGTGCCAACGAATACAGTGGTACAAAATGATGTTAGAGCTTATTTGTTTTTAAGCGATTTATATGTTAGAATTTATCCCGGATCTTGATTACTAAAAACCCAAAAGATGGATTGATTGACTATTATAGGTGGATATTAATCCTGTCCCCATCAGCAAAACATGATGTCCTTTCCTTTGGGAATTTGACCAATGGTCCTTTTGTGATTCATGTAACTTAGGAATGGAATCTGGGGAAAAGGTTGTTTATGAAGTGGAATATTTTTTTCTTCATTCAAGAAGCATTTATTATTAAGCATGTGCAGTATATTCAGTTAACATTTGAGAGGCTGCTACTGTCTGCAAGTCCCTACACTACATACTCAAAGAATCAAGAAATTTAAGACAATTATTCTTTCAGATGGTCTGAGCAACTTTCCTCCACAGTGCCCCATAGCCTTAGAGTTTTTTCTCTCCTTAGGAGAGAAATAGAAAGTATATTTTATATAAAATATAATGTAACATTTTTTACTATACTTCCCAGTTATCTTATGAGAACACCTGTTTATGATTTACTCCTCAATGTAAAGTGGGTCCTTCTCAGAAATCCTGTTAAACTATTGAATTCTGTAGAATGACTGGCAAGTAATCAATACTAAGTAAATGTAAATACTATAAATTTTCTGAAAAGAAATTTACTCTAAAATATTTTGCTTAGGTTACATTCCCTTAGATGACTTATTTTCAAAATATTATGGCTTACTTGGAAGTCATAATAGAATATTTTTATAGGATTGATTTACCTAAAATGACCTATTATTTATTACTTTGATACTTTTCTCAAGTTACTTCAAATGTGTAAGTTTTTATAAATTCTTCCTTTGAATGTTTATTTATTTATTTTGTGAGCAAGAAAGCATGAGCAGGGGAGGGGGCAGAGAGAGAGAGGGAGAGAAAGAATCCCAAGCAGGCTCCATTCGGTAAGCACAGGGCCCGACGCAGCTTTGACCTCATAAACCGTGAGATCATGACCTGAGCCAAAATCCAGAGTCAGAGGCTCAACCGACTGAGGGACCCAGGGGCCCCTACGAATTCTTATCACCCCATCGAGATTGTAATTTGTAGAAATCCATGTTGACATCTGTTTCTTTGTTCTTTGAGTCTAACTTAGTGCCAGGTCCAAAGATAGGGTTTGAACTCACCTGTTCCTCAATTTTGGGGTTCCATGTGATTCTAGTTAGCTTGATTTCAATGAGCTGAAATCCAACTAACTATAAAATCATCAGCCTGAAGATTTTTTTTTTTTTTTTTTTTTTTTTTTTTTTTTTTTGGTCAGCTTATTTTGCCATCTCTGTTATTTCTAGACCTCTTTCTCTGGTCTGAATCTTCTCCTAAATAGTATTCTCATATATAATAGTTTTTTTTTTTCAATGTTTATTTATTTTTGAGAGACAGAGAGAGACAGAGCTTGAGCAGGAGACAGAGAGGGAGACACAGAATCCAAAGCAGCCTCCGGCTCTGAGCTGTCAGCACAGAGCAGGACGTGGGACTCGAACTCATGAACCATGAGATCATGAACTGAGCCGAAGTCAGATGCTAACCCAGGCGCCCCCGAAGATTTTTTTTTTAACATTCCATTTCTATTTGCTGCGGAACACTAAAACTCTTAGGAGATGCCCCCAGACTCAGTTTAGATTCATCTCCTGTCATGAAAAAGTGGTGTTTACAACTATGCGCTCAAAACACTGCAAGATGCTCAAAGAAAGATTACATTATATTCTCTGGACAGGACTTCCTTAGACAGAAGAACGAATTCAAATATTTTATGAATATCCTTAACAAAGATTGAAACTACTAAAAGAATTGTCTTGTTTAATGTGGGATAGCCAGAAAAGTCACTTAACAAGAACTCTCTATTCTGTGTGAGCATTTTATTTAACTAAAGTTTTCTTCTGCTTCAGAATTATTTTGTTAAAATTCTAGGGGTGAGGAAATGATTCCTTCCTCAATTTCTCCCCCTCCTTTCCCATATATTTTAAAAATAATTCGTAATTTTGAAAAAAAAAAGATACAAAAGGGCATATAGACCCCTGAACCTTCTCCCCAGGGGCAACTGCTACAGTTGCTAGTGCAGCCTTCCAGAACATTTATCATATTTATATAAATACCAACAACTGCATCTATATCTTCCTTCTTTACTAAATGTCAGTAGGAACATACTACACATATCCTTCTATAACTTTTGTTTTTGTTCACACTTACCAATATAACTTGAATATTGTTCCACACTATTGTAGACAGAACATGTTCTTTTATGAGTCTGTATCAGATTTCATTGCATGGAATGTTCATTGCAAAATGTATTTAACCAGTCTCTTCTTAATGGCTATCTCTAATGTAAACAACAGGTTGTTTCTAGCCTCCTGCTATCATGAACAAAGCTACAGCAGACAATCTTACCATATCCATGTCCTTGCGTATATAGTAGTGTAAGATGATTTCTCTTAAGTAGAATTGCTAGGTCAGAGAGAATGAAAGATCACTGATTGCCAAATTGCCTGACAACAGGGTTGCACCAGCTTCTACACCCATAAATGGTGTGCGTGTTTGCTTCCCCCACCCTGGCCAACACTGTGTACCACCCAAATTTAGAAATCTTTGGGACACCTGGGCGGCCCAGTCAGTTAAGCGTCCGACTTCGGCTCGGGTCACCATCTCGTGTTTCGTGAGCTTGAGCCCCGAGTCGGACTCTGTGCTGACAGCAAGGAGCCTACTTTGGACCCTCTGTTCCCCTCTCTCTCTGCCCCTCCCCTGCTTGTGCTCTCTCTCAAAAATAAATCAGCATTTAAAAAATCTTTAAAAATAATAAAAAAATCTTTGCCAATCTGATAGTGAAATTAATATTTCAGTGCTCAAATATGCATTTAACTCTGAATGAACTTGAGCATCTTTTTATAGGTTTAGAAGATATTTGTATTTCCTTTTTTTTTCTGTGAAATGCACTTTTGGTTTTGGATATTTAAAAAAAGTAATTCAAAGGGAAAACAGATAACCTCTCCTAACCTTGAGGGATCTCATCCTCTATCGTCTCAGAAATTCTTTTCTGAGCTCTTGGAAGGATCCTCAGGAAAATTTTGGTCATGCTGTCAAAATCTTTACTATGAAGCTTTCAGATAAAGAGAACCCTTCAGGACCTTCCTCTACATCAGAGAAGCTTTCCTACCATTTGTTTCTCTTCCTATTCCAATCAAAGAGTTATTTATAGGGAACCCTTGGGTTATGTTCCTCCCTCCCCTCCTAATGTTCATGCCTCCTAGGAATTGATGCTATTGAATAGTTGAGTGGTCTCTTTAGCAAATGCACACACCTGTTGGTGCTTACATCTTTCAACACCCTCCCCCACCCCCACCCCTAGTTGTAGGATTTAACTTCCTCCAAGTACTTTTGAAAATTTTGGACTAACGCTTCCAGCGCACTTACCTGGAGTTCTATGTATTCTTTGGCAGTGGGAACAGCAGTGGTATGGTCAATATGGAGACACAGGGTCCGGATGCGGTTCTCCTTCCAACTGGGCGTTTGGTCTCATAGGGCCCCTTGGTCTCTCTGCACCTTGGGGAGCACCTTAAAAACATGTATGGTTCTATGAAAGAGTTCTGATATTCCACTTTTCATTGGGTAGATTGCTGCTATTGTAATCACCCTTAATATCAGCTGTATTGGGGCTTTTCTTTTTGTGACAAGGAAAACAAGTTGCTTGCTTCTAATGAGCGCGTCGCTATCGTGTCTAAAAGGCATTCGTGATGGGTGTCCCGGCGTTGACACTGTTCTCTCAGTTCATTAGGCTGAGCCAACTGTCTTGGCCGAATGAAACAGGATTCTGTGAAAGGAAAATACTTGCTCATGAGCATGGGTGCACCACACGTACAAGCAGTGGTGAAGGTGAGGGACTTCCCACTCAGTGACGGGGAGACTGGCAAGGGGTAACCTGCCACTATCCAGGAAAACACAATCTGGCCTTTTCTGGGCTCTTCTCCTCTGATTTGTTCTGTGATACTTTGCTAGCGCTAAGCGACATGGAGAATAAATCCCCTTTGCCTATTAAAGAACCTCTATTCTTTTCTAAGTCTCTACTGCTTTCTCCGATCAACCAGTGAAGAATTGTATATGATGCTCAAGAGATCAGTTTCAAGGTTAAAAAAAAAAGCTTTAGTTTTTTATACTCTTTTCATCACTACCACATCTCCCTTTAGAGCTCTTTATTTTGTTTTTATATGTCTGTTCTTTTGCTGGCTGTTTTCCTGTTCTTGTTCAGTCTATAATATTTTATTCTGGAATGGAACATTTTATTCAATTGGGAATTGCCTTAAATTCCTTCAAAGTACCTGAACCTACCAAACAACAGTGTTTGGAGTGGCATAAGGACCCCGTGGAGTAATTTGGGGAGCAGAAAGGGGCAAAATTCTTCTTGTTACCCATAACTGGAACTGTATCCTTCCCCTACAATTCTTCCTTCTGAGAATGACCCTCTCTCATTGTCCTGAAAGGTTGAGGGAAAACCATTAAATGACTTTACATATCCCAAGGCTTTTTTGTCCATACGGAACATGTTATTGGCAGGGAGTCTCGGGGGCTAACTAACCAACTAGAGCTCAGGTATTGAGTTTTAGCTTAAGCTCTCCCACTTATGATTAGTAACCTTGAACTAACCACTAACTCTCTCTGGCTCTAATTTTGTCAAGTGATAAATGGAAATAATTGGACCGTCCAACCCCATGGGGTTGTGCTAAGGAGTAATGATTATAAAGTTATTATGAAAGAACGGAGTGCAGCATAAATACTTAACATTACAGCCATTCTAAGCTCTTAATCTCTGGGAGCATCTGAGAACTTTAACTTAACTATATGAATTTGAACATGTGGTTGCTTCTCTCCCACCCAGGTGTTATTTGAACTCGCCCGCTATCACGCCCCCTCCACCATCTTCCTGGACGAGTTGGAGTCAGTGATGAGTCAGAGAGGCACGGCTCCTGGGTAACAGACAGGGTTTTTTTTTTTTCGGTCATCACTTCTCCCCTCTTGTAAGTGTGTTTGATGGTCGGAAGCCCATCGACATTTACCAGCAGAATGAGCCTATTAATAAGCCCACAAATTTTCTGCAGACACATGGAAAGGTCTTTAAATTAGATCCTGTTAACTGAATAGCTGATTTAAGTAGTTTTTATAACCGGAGGAAATGTCATCCTCCCTTCCCCCTTTCCCCACAGAGTGGTTTTCAGGCCTGAAGATCACCCAGCCCCACGATCCCAGGCTGCCATAACGGTCTCGCTGGCTCAAAATAGCTGCTCGTGACCACCTCCTCTGGAGCCAGAGGGGCTGCCTGTGGGGAATGGGGCTGCAAAGGCCAAGTCCCAAGAGGTAGCTCTCGACAAAGTGTGTGAGGCCAGGGAAGCCACCACTTTTCTGTGACATCAGGTGGTGGGTCAGCCTGTCTGATTTTAAATATGTCACATATGTTACCTCTAAAGATTAAGTGTCCACTAACATCCCCAGCAGGAAAGAACACATCTCAGGCTACAGTGAGCCTTGTGTGTGTGTGTGTGTGTGTGTGTGTGTGTGTGTTTTAAGAAACTCTTTCTGTCTTCATCAGAAGTATTCTTCTTTGAAACTTCTTACTAAACCTGGCTTGGAAAAACAGGTCTCTGGGAAATCTCAACACAGCGGCATTTATTAATGGCCTCTCATGGACGGACCATCATCAAGGCAGAACTAATAGTGATAAAAGGCAAATACTCAACTTCTTGGAAGTACAACTATAATTTATGAAATTTTACTTATTGGAAATCATTTTCCTAACAGGGAAAAGCAACCATTAGGATGCACCCAGGATGCATGGGATTGATGGCATTGAGGTCAATGGGACAATTTCCATGGCTTCATGGGTGCTTGTCAGCCTCAGGCTAGATGCTCTGCCTCTCTATACAGGACCTGACAGGGGCAGACATGCACAGGCACCTGGATAGGCACCCACCAGACCACCTTAGTGGTCATTCTGTCTGCAAAGACCCAGCCCACCTGGCCTTCCCTACCAGAGTGAACTGTGCACTCATTCTTACATTCACTTTGTCAATCTCCATTCCTGGGGTTTCCCACAGCTTTGAATGGCTAATTTGGAAGCTTTATCTCCTGCCTTTGACTGTACTCCGAGTTTTACACTGAATGGCAGCTTCCTTGCCTGGAACTTGACCCCTAAAACTAGAGTCAGGGAATAAAGGCAGGTGCTCTGAGAACTTCCTGGGTCATATGAAAAGAATAAGTATCGGTAAATCCTAAATAAATACATAACTATACTGTGAGACTATCCTTTCTCTTGGGAAAAGGTAGTTTGACAGTGAGTGGTACAGTTCTTAACAAAAACACATACCTAACTGATGCTGCCACTACACATGCCCAGAGAGGAGAAGTTGAATGTCGTGTTGTCCAAGAAAGGCATTTTTTGTCCTTTTAACTCAGTCTATACAAGTGAAGAGGAAGGAGAGCCTGCTGAATATAGTCCGGATTCAGAGCCAGTTTAGATTGTTAGGTCCTGGAGTGAGCTCCTTCATGGCGGGATGGTCTTTGGCTGCGGTGGAGGTGGGGCTTGGAGGGTGAATCTGCACAGCAGACAGCCCCAGCAGGCTGTGCAAGGAAAACATACTCTCCATGTCGTTATCGTGCCTTTTATTAGAAGAGAATGAAATAGATTCAATGCAGTAGCTTATCTCTCTTCTTCAATAGAGTATATCCATAAATTATATGAAAAGAACTATGGTGTATAAAAGCACTTTCATGCCTGCTGTATAAATGAAAGGATTATTCTCAATTATCCGTTTTTACAAAGGGCAAATAATACTACTACAGAGAGACCCAGCCTGGCTGTGTTCAATCGATTCGTAGTACTGTCTGCCCTTTAGTTATTTTCTAGTTCACTGCCAATTTTTGGTTTTCTTCTCAGTGTCGTCATTATATTCATTTACTTCCTTTCTCTCACTCTCTATGTGAAAATAATACCAAACTACTCGTTTCCTTCAACTCTCCTACGAGTGGCTCCCGGGAATGAGGCAAGGAACCTGTCCTACAGGCACTGAATCAATGTTGTGAGTGCCACTCTTGTCCTGGAAGCAAAGACTCTGTCCTGGGAGAACCTCACCTCTGTGTCTCTCTGTAGGGGAGAACATGAAGGAAGCCTCCGGATGAAGACAGAGTTACTGGTGCAGATGGACGGGCTGGCTCGCTCAGAAGATCTCGTGTTTGTCTTAGCAGCTTCTAACCTGCCATGGTAAGAGATCTTAGTACATTTTAAATGCATTTCCATGAGACACTGAGTACAGATGAAGACGTTATATTGCCCAGTTTGGGCAAAGTCTCAATGTTTGGTTCCAGCCCTGGAAGATTAATCTGAAGTCTTTCTTGGTCAAGGCCTCAGTCCTTGCTATCTGTACCATGAAAGAATCTGCCTTAAAAGAAGGAACATAAGCCAGGCCTACCACTAGCAATACTTAAAATGGACATTTTGAAGGGTACCCGGGTGGCTCAGTTGGTTAAGTGTCCAACTTCAGCTCAGGTCATGATCTCATGGTTCGTGGGTTCATGACCCATGTCAGGCTCTGTGCTGACAGCTCAGAGCCTGGAGCCTGCTTCAGATTCTGTGTCTCCTTCTCTCTCTGCCCCTCCCCCACTCATGCTCTGTCTCTTTCTGTCCCTGTCTCAAAAAGAAATAAACATAAAAAAATTTTTCAATGGACATTTTGAGTTTAAAGCCAAATTATTTACTGTATTTATGCAGGGCTTTGGCAGAGAACTAATACAATGCTAAAATCTTTAGGACTCAGGAATATTCCAGAAATAATATGTTTATTCTTTAACAGTATTAAAATCAAACTTTTTTTAAATTAGGAGGAAAACCTTTAATGTTACATAGTAAATAGGAAGCTAAATAATCTCTAATTGAAAATATAATCTACTCTCTGAGTGTTTTATTCAAGCTGTATCCCAGAGTGGTTAAAGAACAATTCTAGAAGTAGAATTGGGAAATAAGAGATGTTGACTAGGGAAAACTATCTACTTGGAGAGTATATTTAAAAAATAACTCTAATTCCTTTATAGTCCCAAGAATATAATTTTCACACACATTATCTCTTTTGAGGCAGGTAAAACAGGAGACAGATAAGGAAATGTTGTTCTTCCCATTTGCAGGTAGGGTCCAAGGTCAAGGAAGGTCAATCCACCCAAAGTCAACAGCAAATCTGCAACAGAGCTGGGACTTGTGACACTGTTCCCCCACCCCCACCCCATCCATTTGTGTTTCTACATTCAAAGATGAATGTTGTGCGTGCTGTTGTGCATGCTGGTCATCTAGGCTCCCAAAGAAGTCACTGCAAAGAGATGATGACATTCATGTGGAATCTGTTATTTTAAATATATTCCTAATTTCAGCCTGGCTCCACCTCCCCTCAAATTTATAAGACTGCACTAATGTGTAAGGTGATCAGCATCTTATGTTTTCATGGTAGAGGCATTTATATACAAATATTACAGTGGAGTCCAAACAGAGAACTATCATTCAAATAAACGATTGCGAAATGCCTCCGAGAAAGGACCTCTGTTGCTTCAGCTGTTTGCAGTGGGGTTGGTCATAACCACATTCCTCTTGTCCCGGGGTGACTGTGGGAGTCAGCTGGGGAGGGTGCGTGGAAACTGAAGCTTCGTGCATGACTCCTGGACCGTCTGTGCCCCCCGGGGAGACCTACACATTTTCTAGAAGGATAGAGAAACTTCTACTGCCAGTGAACACCTAGGGTTTTGTTGAGGAAGTTTCTGTGCTGCCACAAGTCCCCTGAGGTGATCATTTTCAGTAAACCCCACATAAAATGGTCTGAGAAGAAAAAAAAAAAAAGACAATAAAAAATTAAAGAAGCTTAGAAGGGCTTTTCCAAAAGAATTGCCCCTCATTATGGCAAATGGCAAATACACACATGCTTTTGGGCTTTGCTTGCATCATTACAACGTACCTTCGGATCCAGGGGTGCCTGGTGGGCTCCATCAGTTAAGGGTCACACTTCGGCTCAGGTCATGATCTCGCCCTTCCCAAGTTCCAGTGCCGCATTGGGCTGTGCTGACAGCTTGGAGCCTAGAGACCGCTTCACATTCTGTGTCTCCCTCTGTCTCTCTACCTCTCTCCTGCTCACTCTGTCTCTCTCAAAAATAAATAAACATTAAAAATTTTTTTAATTAAAAAAGATACGTTCTTTTGGATCTGTCCTTGAGCAATGCTGGGCTCTAAAAAACTTTTTAGTATGAAAAACTCCAAACAGACACTAAAGAAGAGGAAAAAGCACCATTTCCCAGTTTCAGTAACTAACATCTTGCCTGATTGATATAATCTATTCTTGCCCCCTCCCTCGTTTTGCTGCAATGTTTTAAAGTATATTCCAGATTGTCATGTTACTTCTCACAAATATATTTTACTATACATCTTTTTGAAAAGGACATTTTCGGCACGTCTGAGTGGCTCAGTCAGTTAAGTATCTGACTCTTGATTATCGGCTCAGGTTGTGATCTCACGGTTTGTGAGTTCAAGCCCCACATCAGGCTCTGCATTGACAGTGCAGAGCCTGCTTGGGATTCTCCCTCTCTGTCTCTGTCCCTCCCCTATTCATGTGCTCTCT